TGTGGACAAACTTTAGAAATTTATTACACAGAATATAAAATTTTCTTCCCCTTCTTGCGATGTTGATATGTAGTTACTGTAAGACTGGTTTGTGCTCAAGTCCTCTTTTTTCTGTACAGCTCAGTTTTTAAAAGTTTTTGGGGTTCATGTTTTCTATGATGGACACTTGATACAGCCTATGGGTGTAAAAAGATTGTGAAGCTCACCTGTTTGGGCCGAGCGTCATCACAGCAACTCTCTGGGACTCTCCTGCTGAATGCGTACAACGCTACTGCGCAATGTTGGTTTCAGAAAATGGAGAAAAAACGTGGAATTACCGAGAGCTTTTCGGCTTCAGATCCATATACTGGTGGAAGGTGGAACCAAGTTGTCCATTGTATATACAGTCTATGGTTGCAACACAATGCACCTCTGTCTCGCTAACCAAAGTGAAGGATAAAAGAGTTACCAATCAGACTTGTGCTCCTGTCACCCCAGGTCACCCCTGGGAGAGGCCCCTGCTGTATCACTGCATCACTATTTCATGTTAAGTTTTGCTGCTTTTTTTTTCTAAATTCATGTTATGGACCACTTGACTTGAAAGTGACTTTGCCATTTGATGTGAGGCGGGTAAGCAAAAGCAAATTTACATACAGTAACCTAGCAGTAAAGGCTTTTCTCCTCCGTGTTATCGCACCATTAGGCTGCTAAATTGGCAGACACCAGAGCGGAGGCGAAGGACGCGTTAGCCCGACAGTCTCTTCCTGCTAAAAAAGGCCGAAAGATGAGAAAGAAAGAAAAACAATAACACAGTAATCTTTTTTTAAAAAATGATGCTCAAAAGATGACACTTTTGAGTTGTTTATAGGGATGCTTTTCATCAGTTCAGTCAGACGCCCATATCTGAACATCTGGATGGTCGTATCATTTAACGTGATGATATTTCCAATTTAACGCTTTAATGACTTTGCAATTGTTCTAATTAGTTGCGTCCTCATGTCTTTGCTCACTTTAGTTACATTATTTCTAGTTTGCAGGTTTTTTCAAACACTTGAAGAGCCTCTTTAGTTCCTCAAATCTATGTTTGATGTTGGATGAAGATTAGTCGATGATTCTCCTCCTAACATGTGAGTATGTGCTCATCCAGCTCAAGCTCTAACTCAAAAACTGAAGCATTTACATTCTGCTGGTGCTGAATAACACTTAAGATGAATCAAAGCTCTGAGTCATTAAACAATGTTTTGCATAAATTCCAGACAATGCAAAGTGAAGGAGCGATGAAGGAGCCGTCTCTGTTCTACTTAGACATAAGAACTGACAGTTCTTAGTGTTTTAGTTTTAAAGAAAAGTGTGTTGGCGTTTGTGTGTCTGTAAGATATTCGGTGCATATTACAGCTGATCCCCTCATTTACATCCTCATTGTGTGGCCGTATCTTCACACTGCGCTGGTTTGAATCCCCTCTGGCCGCAGTCGCTCCACTGTCTGAAATAATCAAAGTCTTAAGTGACGGTGAAAAGGGAAATAAAGCTGATGAGAAACAGAAACATGTTGGAAAAAGTGCAGAGATCCAGAGAGGATTTTGTAAGGATCTGCTTCAAACCTCGTTGTGCCGGAGCAATTGCCTGTAAAAATTAAAGAGCAACTTTTAATGAGACTGAAAGAGTAATTGCTTATTTAAAGTGTGACGTGCTTGGAAACAGAAAATTGTAGGGTGCCTCACTGCCAATTTTCATATCAGTTATTATGAATGCACATGAGTTTTTAAATGACAGCTATCTTGGAAATGATTATTTTTTGAACAAAAGTTAATTTTTTGGGGTTCACATGAGTATTTCTCATTTTTTAATCAAAATTTGCAGCTTTTGGCCCGAATATCCGTCTCTGCTAAACCAGATTATCAAAAACTTTCTGATTTTGGACGAAGTAAACCCCAGTAAAGGAAAGCCTAGAAATAATTATGCTGTTTTCAAGTTTAATACTCAAAGCTCTTTAGATTAACTGTCTCATCTGAGCGGCACATGACACAAAATGGCCATGATAGCAGATTCTCCTGAGCCTCGCTGAAATGGAGCATATTGGTCATACGATTTTGATGGTCTGTGGAGTGTGAGGTTTTGCTAGATTGTTGAGCGACAGCCTCTCACAGCTGAGGGCACGCTCTAACTGGCACATGCCATCTGTCTGGAGATCAGGGAGGGGCGAGTGTTGCACCAAATGTCACCCTCATTGTGAAATCAGAGCAGGACAGCCATCGATCACACCTGGAAGCCGATCTCTGAGTTGTTTTTCATTAATCACTCCAGCAGTTTGGGTCAAAGTTCAGGGATACTGAAAAAAAGACAAAAGACTGATGGTGCAGAGATGAGGGAGACTTTTAATTGTTACCGTTTGATAATCAGCTGAGAGTCTGTGAGTAAATCAGCTTCAGGAAGTGGCAGTTTGGACGTGCAGAGTTAAGGGCTTTTTCTCACCTGTCTCTTCAGAGAGGTTATTTGTTTGGATAGATTGTCAGTATGCTGAGCTTCCCCTGCTAATGATTGGAGGTGCTGTCACTAACAGCTATGCCTAAAGAGAGAATGACTCCTCTGGTGCCTCTGGTACATAATTCAGCAGGGTGTTGACTGCTGGAAGGTCAGGCAGTGTGGAACAACATGACACATCAGTATTTATGATGTTTTATCCACTCCTGTTTAATCCCTTTGGCTCCGGCTCTCTTTATCAGGTGGTGTCTGCGGAGGGCTTCAGGCCAAATGAGCATTCACGTTCTAATTGCTGCTCATTTGCATGAATGTGTGGATCCAGATGTCAAAGGAGTGGAAAGTGTGGGGATAACAGCTGGCTGTGTCACCTCCCTGGCGTGTGTGGGTGGACTCTGACCTTCATTGTGGCTCCAAATCCGTGTCTAAATTTTTTATCGTTTCCTTTTGCTTCAAAGCTTTTCCTGTAATATTTAGAAGAATCTTTGAATTCTAGGTTTGTAATTTGACAGATGACACAAACAGAGAGTCAAGCTAACTATTATCCAGTCTTACTCGAAGCAGTATCTCTTGTTGCTCAAGTGAATTCTGGGCTTTATTCATACAACGGTTGGAAATACTTGACCAAATGGACGCCACTGACTAATTAACTCACCACTGGTTGCCGTTGCCAAGGTATAACGGGGTTCTCCCTGCACTTCTGCCCATCTCCACAGCAACTGATATGTCACTGTGTAAATCATGATATTTGCTTTTGTTTGAGTGTTTTAAGAATAAAATTTAAAAACAATGAGCACAACAGCAGCTAACATTGTTGCAACAAAAATGCTGAACTGAATCGACTTTGCATTGGAGATAGTTGTTGCCACGAGTGGACACAGGCCCCTTATTTTTAGGGCAATGTGTTACAGTTCATCATAAACAAGGCACTCTCTAGCGATAGCATGACAAGGTTACCTGGATTAAACTTAAAGGGATATTCCAGCGTAATATTAATTTAAGGTCAAACATGTAACGTGATGCAGCTCAAGGAAGAAGTAATAATCACCATATTAATCATTTTGCATATCAGATGCGGTAGTTCTTCTGCCTCAGTGTCTCTGTCTGATTGCATTTCCATGAAGAAATGATCATAAATGTTCTTCCTTGAGCTGCGTCACCCCGCAGCAGAAATAGACTCGTCCAAGGTCTCACTACAAAAGAGTGGCTGCTGGAAGGGAGTAGGTGAGTTGTGTTTAGTCTCTTTGCTAAAGAAATTAGTCAAAGCTAAAATGATGTTTGGTGGCTAGTAATAAGGCTGGGACCCTGTATGAACTGTTGATGAAGTTAGGTGCTGTTCTGAGCATTATTCGGCAACATTCATCTCTCGAGGGGGTGTCGAACTCTGTGTTACGGTGTGTTTGACCCTAAATTAATTTTACGTCGGAATATCCCTTTAAGCTTTCAGTTCTTGATATGTTGGTTGCAGGTTTGGTTACAGGCCCTTTGATGCATTTCTCCACCAATTGCTGCCCCTGCTTTTTCCATCTTCCTTGATCTGCTCTGTCAGGTAGAAGCCAAAAGACTAACAGATAAAACCTAATAAAAGAAGAAGAAGAAGGCAGACAGACAATTTTGGTTTGGTTGGAGCTGAATTGGTCAAACAGTCGCCTGAGAAACCAACTCCTAACCGAGACTTATCACCTGTGTTCCTTTATGTTTCATCCACTGCTCACAAGTGACTAACAATTCAGCCATCGAAGGTGCAACTCTCCTTTCACCATCACTGGCTATAGTGAGCGTGTAAACCTCATTAGTTCTTGGTCCATATGGCGCTGGGAGAGAGGGTATACAATAAATTGACAAAGTTGCTGTTTTGAATTCTTGCCTCTGGTGCTCACTATGTCGTCCAGCTCCTGCTCTGCAGTAGCTGCCAGGCAGGCGCAGAGTTAAAGCCTAACCTTGAAATACAATACTCCCCTAAGGCTGCTACGAGAGAGAAAATGAGGCTGACAATCAGGATTAACCTGGATAAATTGTCAATATCTGCTGGCCAGACTCTGAAATAACAATTATGTGTTTGATGAAAGGAAGTTCTGGTTAAAAGTGAATTTAGTTATTTGAGTATTGTGGAATTTAAAAGCTTAATAAGCCAGGCTCTGTCTGTGGGAAGGCTTCACAATGCTTTAAAGCTTTTTTATTCTCACAGTTGTCAAGTGCTCCACAATCAGAGAGTTTCAATTTGTACCCCTGCAGTCCTCAGGTGATGAAATCCAACAACGAAAAGATAAATTATTATAACTTTTTTGGTTGAACTCTTTGGTTTTCAAAATAACAAATCAAACAACTTAAAGGTCTATAACTCCAACATTAAATTTGATTGATGATCATCGAACGAAATCAAAACATCTTAAATCTAAACCAACCCAAAGCACTTTATAAAGTGGTTTATTAGCTCTGTATTTGTATTCACAGTGTGTATAAAGCCATGAGTAATGAGCTCACACTCATGAGGTGTATTTTCATTTCTCTCTGCCTGGTGGGTTGGCCAGCAGAGGAAATTCCTGTGCTTCAAGAGGCTTGATTACGATAATAACAGCAGCACCGAAAACAAAGGATCAAGTCAGTTTGCGTGGGGAGCGTTCAGATCCAGAGCCTTACTCTGATTAAGACAAGGGTGTTTTAGCAGCATGTAATATCAGAGGGAATGTTAATAACAGCATGAAGAGTCACGCAGCGCCACAACTCGAAAAAACACAACAAAAAGGGTCTCTAATTACACCGCAAAGTGCATGTAGTTCATGCGACTGTGTAGACGTGACAAACTGCACATTAATGTTAACGTTAAACTGATTTACTGCGGCGTTTTGCTGGTGGGGAAGGTGTACGTTTTACAATTATACGACTTTTTGTTTTCGTTTCCCTCGTAAATGAGTCAAGTGTGCCTCATCAAGAACCAAAGAGAAGCCTGCAGGGTTACAAAGTCGCAGCTCCAATCACTAAAAGCCAAGTTTCCATGGGAGAAAATGACCTGATATTGTTTGCTTTGTTGATTCTGAGGCCTGCTGATTTAATTTCCATGGTATTGTTTTCCAGAAGCAAGTTTTTACAGTAAATGGGTCTCAAAGCTATTGTTGTTGTTCTTGCTGTACCGTGTTTACAAGAAGACAAAATATTCCAGGCCTCTATAAAAGGAAGTAGTATTCGAGGCACATTGTTTAGGAGTGCGACAAACCCCTCAGGACATGCGAGAGGTTCATCATTAATGGGAAATGTTGTGTTTCGTGGTCATTTGGAGCCATGCCATCATGTGCTGTTACCTTTTCTTGCCTGCTTAGGGTTTTTCCTGAAAAGGATGCACCCTAGCGTGAGCCACACATCTCCTAGACCTAATCCTGCACCCATCAACCGTTTTCTCCCTTCCAGCAGCAGGCGTACGTGTCAGCCGTGAGAGGGTCCTCATGTTTGCTGAGGTCAAAGTCATCTGTCAAAGCGGCGAGATGGCTGGCTGGCTCCATGGAGGTAATTGGAAGCATTGCTGCCTTCTAGGAGGAAGCCTGACAAAAAAAAAAAAAAAAAAAATGGAAAAAAAAAATCTTGCCATGTGTCAGGGAAGTTCGCTCCGAAAAGCGAGGGTGCTCGCTCCTCTGATTGTCGACTAAACTCAAAAACAAACATAGAAACACACACAATGGTACAAAGAGACACACAGCTGTTATCATGTACAGCAACAATCACAGACTGTTGACAATATTCACTTCAGATTACATAACCAATGTATACAGGAAGCTTTTATCTGCCAACCCAGAGAGCAGAGCAGTCAACAGCTGCAGGGACATCTAAGTGCAAACTCTTAATTGAAGGCTGAACTCTGTGGTTGTTGCTGTCAGCGTGTGCATGACTAAAGCGGTGGAGAAAAATATGACATATTTGTTTCTTAAAAATCCCTCTCTGAGATTTTAAAGCTCCACACCAGGGATAGCTTCCAATCACGTTTCAAGGCCAATTCTATGGTTGCCTGGATACAGACCGTCATATAAGGCGGATTTCCAGTCACGCTTTATGAATAGACCGCTGAGCCCTGGATTGGAGATCCAGGAGCTAGTTTGCCATCGTCCGTTTTAATTCCCCTTTTTTTAGACCCAGGAAAGGATGTTGTTTTTCTTGACCTCTCTGTGCATTTACCTGATAGTGAGCACAATATATCAGACGCTGGTAAACAGTTGGTGTTAGAGGTTGTGCATCCAGTTAAGACTGGTTATGTTGGGGTATGGACATTTATAGAGCCTGAAGTCTTTGATTTAAAAGGAATTTCCCAACAGCGAGTTTACATTTCTAAGAAGGGACAATATCGTGTGAAAAACAGTAACAAACTTTTGAGCCATCTCCAGGTCGGATATGTTCGGAGCTGATCCATTATTCAGTTATCACTCATGAACTACAATCAGTGTTCTACATTTCCAGCTATATTGTTGCATTATAGATTATGTGGGAATGAATATTGACGTATGGAAATGATGATGTGAAATATTCCGTACCATCTGGCTCTGTTGTTTTTGTTTTGATCAAGTTTTTTTAAACTGTATATCCCGGTGTATATATATGACTGTATTTATATGAAAGTGTGGTATGACTGCAAAATTAAATCAGTGGAATACACTTGGATTATATCAGAAAAGTGAAAAAAAAATTATCTTGTTTTCCCTTATTGTATCTGTGATTACTTTGGGGTCTCTTAAATACAGTGTTAAATATCGCCCTTTTCAGTCTCCATACTCAGCCCCCTCAAACCTGTCCCATTCTCCTAGATACAGTTTTCCCCATGTCTCTCACTTCTGCTCTTCTATGAGCCCACTTGACATTGTGCCCCCTAGATTACTCTGTAAACTTCCTATCACGTGTAAGCTCCTGTAAAGGTTGCTTTCAATCGACTTCTGGAGGTGGTTAAAGGAAATTATGTTTTTGATAAACACCAATCAAGCTTTTGACAGAATCACAGTACTGAGACAGTTTTGCTGAGGGTCAAAGCAACTACAAATGGCTGTTTTAAATCTTTTAGATTTGTCAGCAGCTTTTGACACAGTTGATCTTATGGATCGTCTGGAAAAATCAGGTGTTGCACTAAACAGTTTTCTTCCTATATATCTAAATTCTTAGTTTCTGTGAAGAGAAGGTTTCCTGCAGGGTGCGTCAGGGGTCAAATCTTGGTCCTATCCTTCTTTCTTTGTATATACTCTCCTTACCTGATCCAGCAGTTTGGCTGTGTGTCCTACCGTTGCTACACTGATGATACACAGCTATACGTATCTGTTAAACCCAATGACCTCTCAAATCTATCTACTCTCTACAAATGTTTGGCAGAAATAGGAAACTAGATGTCCCTCTATTTTCTTCACTTAAATCACAGAAAGACAGATCAGTTGTTTTTTTGCCCTGGATCAATTAACCACAAGTATCCTCCAACAACCTGGTTCATAGCCAAATCCTCTTCCAAAAACCCGAGTCACCTTTGACTGCCTGAGGAAATTTACAATTGTGTTAAGACAGATATTCAATCTTGTTGCTTTCACCTGAGGAACACTGACAAAATACGCTCCCTGTTATCCTTCCAGCAGTTGGAAATGGTTATACATGCCTTTATATACTCTCGTTTAGACTACAGCGGACTCTGTTGACTGCTTTAAGTCACAGTTAACGGCCTGTCTATCTGCATTGTTTCTATTTGGTCGCTTCTGTTTTGTTCGTATTGTACAAATCCTGAAACTTCCCTCTTTGTCTTTTGTTTTATTTATTATATGTTTGATCCTTTTTGTAAAGCATATTGTAACTCAGGTTTTGAAAATGCGCTATATAAATAGAGTTAAACTTCTCACTGATTGTTCTGGCCTTTCATAGCTTTCCCAGTATCCGTAAAAGAAGGCGGTGAGGTAGTGCGGTGAAAAAATCACTTCAAACCCAGATCTTTTCTTCTCCAGCAGTTAAAAAACCGAGAACAGACTGAACTTCAATTATAGAAGAGGCAGAAACTACTTTGACATGTCGACAGTGGGAACTGAATTGAACTACCAAGCTTCAGCGTTAAGGTCAACCTGCTCCACCAATGAGCCAAATCAAGTAGAGCTCCTTTGTTGTAGATTTGAATGGAAGAAGGCCCGACAGAATAGTCTCTCATGTACTGAACTTGGACATGTTTTTATGGTCGCTTTTAGCTCTGGAGCAGCTCGGTGAGATCTTACTTGTATCATAACCTTATACCTGTAAGTTTCTCAGCTGAACCCCTGCCTGCTGTGGTCCTGAATATTGTAATCCCCACTGTTTCATTTGCTTAGCCATTAATATAAGGCCTCAAAATGCACGGGGAGTCTCACATCCCTCTCCTCTCTTTCAATATTTGCTGAAAGGAATGCAAATTGACTTTCTAAAGTTGTACCGACTGACCTTCAAAGACTTTGGATCCTAAATTGTGCAAAACCATGAAGTCATTACTCTATTAATTAACGCTGACCTTGTCTACTAGTGGAGTGGGTTTGGCTGGCGAGATGAAATGAAGGACTTGTCAACGTCCGTGAGAATAAGTGACTCATCTATATAACGGCTGATAAAACCAGAAACTGAGTCAGCTAAATCTGACACATGATCATAGTGTCTGAGCCTCAAATTTAACTGTAAATGTAAATGAATGAAAAGAGGAACACCTACATGCTAGGTCAGTGAAAACCTCCGCATGTGAAATACAAGATCTTCTGGTGCAAAAGCTTTTGCATAAATTGAGTTTTGACACTGTGTCCTGCTTTAATATAAAACAATGCTAATGTGTCAGTTGACCCTGCTGATAAGATAGATTTATGTGGTCCCTTTTCTGCAAGATAACCCTGAGTAATCCCTACTTTCTTCACTCCTTTTTCCTTTTTTTTTCTTGTGACTTTATTTGAGAAATAGCCAAAGAGGCAAACATCACATATACAAGGTTGACCAGGACCCTGCGGAGATGTTCCTTGACCGATTAGGAATCTCTTGACTTTGCTGTGATTGAAGGTCTTTTCCAACCCTTTTGATTTTGCTCAGCAGGCATGTTCTGGATTTCGAGATGAGAATGAAGCTCAGAGGCCCTAAGTGAGATGACGTGGAGAGCTACGACCTTCATACAAACGCAGGCAGCGGTGGGCTTGTGGGATGTGGATGCTCACAGGTGGGCCGCCTGGCTGGACGAGACTTCAATAAACACCTGCAGCTCTCTCTTCAGGCCTTCTCATTCAATCTCTTTTGGTTCAGTGGAGAGTGGGTCAGGAGAGAGAGAGGGAGAGAGAGAGAATGGTGGGGATGGGAAGACAGGGGAAAAGGAAGTCACAGATAGCAAACAAAAGGTACGTAGGGGTGAGTTTGTGTGATTCCTCCACTCGTAAAAAAAAGGGAACTGATACAACAAATTCAAGGAAGCCTCAGGTTGTTATGGTTACCACAGACACCTGTGTGCTGCCTTCAGCCAGCTGGCCAGCGTGTGGGCATTTAGGTAGAAACTACCTGCACCAAAGAAAGCTCACAAAACAGTTATTTGAAACCAGATGAGAGCGTAGAGAAGTCACTTCACAGCTTCCTTTGATCGAAACCATCCAGCCCAGTTGAATAGCCTCACTGGCCAATAAATGGGTTTTTGCACAGCTGTTCGTGACTAGCTCTTCTTTAATGCATGTTTTCATTCAGGTTCACCTGCTATTAATAGTCAACCTTCATCATTGTTAGTGAAGATATTTCTCTGCTATTGGCTGCTGTCCAGACTTTTACAGAAGTGGTGCACAGGTGAGGTCAGGCAAAAGGACTGCTCTGACAAGTACAGACAGTTTTATGTAGCTCAGGTAATCGAATTTAGAAATATGTCCAACAGGTGATTTTGACAAAACATCACTTTGCAAAGCCAACTGCTGTCAGTCCCTGAGTGCATGGACTTATGAGATAACATGGGTTCATTGTCTTAAGAGACCAAGTTATTGGATGACTTTAGACAGAAAAAATAAATCACAACTGAAACCAGAGGGATCGACTTTGGGAATTGAAGAACAAATTGAACAGCTGTGAGTGAAAGTGGCAAAACTGCTCAAATTTTCATCCTTAAAAACAACGATAGCAGGCCTGTTTATTTTCATACTCACACAAAGGTTTTCCTTTAGCATTATACTTTGTTTTAGTACCTTGAGGAACACCACGATTTCTAAAAGTAGCAGTAGAGGATCAATAAAGTTCTTCTTCTTCTGCTTGTGCTCTGGCCAAGTACAAATTCTAGCCAGAATCGTTCAGTTGGTGATACAAGCATGAAAATTGGCATGAACATTCTCCATGGGTCACTTGACTTGAAAAGTGTCCCAGACATTTGAAATTTCAAGATGGTGGTCATTTTTCTTATTAAGTTACTCATGGGGAATGGTCTTACCAATTTTCATGTTTATATCACCAACTTTACATCATTTAACTGCTTTAATGAGATGGCGGACATCTTAAAAATGGCGGCCACTAAGAATGCTCATGCCAATTTTCATGCTTGTATCACCAACTAAAGGATTATGTCACTTATCTGTTCCACTATCCTTCTTATTCTTCTTGTTCTTGTTCTTCTTCTTCTTATATTCCAGTGTAAAATTAATTATGAAGTTAGGTGCTGTTCTGAGCATTATTTGTGGCTATAAAGTGGCGTTTTGGTTGAGGTTTGTTTATGGCTCCTCAGACCGCTGTGTATTGCTATCCTGCGGTCATTACTAAAGTTTGAAAACTAGAGAAGCAAGCAGTCAGCAACATTCATCTCTCGAGGGGGTGTCTAACTCGGTGTTATGATGTGTTTGACCCTAGATTAATTTTACGCCAGAATATCCCTTTAAATACAAGAAAAGGTTAGGAAGCTCAGCGAAGATGGGATGTGACTAAGGCTGTGAAGTCATTGCAAATCACCTAGGAGATGGGTACATGTGGCCTTACCATGGTGACTACTGGTTGCGGTATGTTTAACAGAAAATGAGTGCTTTCTCCTCACCTTCAAGGCTGTTAGTCATTATGCCCCTGATACTCCACTTAAACAGTGGAAGCAGCTGAGTGTATAATGCACTGCTTGTCTTTGTTAGAAGAGGCATGAAGCATTAACAAGTGTTACCCAACAACTGCATGATACTGCACTTTAATAAACTGACTCATGGATTATCACACTTGTTTTTCATAAAGACTTCCTTTTTTTACTACACCCCCTTAAAAAACTAGCTTATCATTAACCTCAACCCCCTGCAACATAGATGAAAACACACACGCTCAAATCCACTCATTACACTATTTGATCAAACTTTCGGCATGTTATTCTTTTAACCTTTAAGATCCTTTGCACTGTGCGGCTCAGATCCGCAAAGACGAGAGGCTCGAGGATAATGGCTTTGTAAGCTTTCTGATGTACTGTGATTCTCTCCTGCACAAACGTAATTACGGCGTGACAGCAGGGAGAAGCCCTCACAAAGGCCTGATAATCAGAGGCTGGTGATCAGAGCATGCAGCTCATGACCAGAAGAGGCAGTGACGCTGAAAAGTAATTAAAGTCACCCACAGAGTGGAGCCATGCAAACTGCACTCCCAGCTTGCTGCAACACCCGCTCATGACTTCTGGCTGTTCTTTTATTCCTGCCTCTCCTCTTCTCTGCTCTTGCTTCATTTTGTCTCGGGTCCTGCTGCTACATTTCTTTGTGTTCCCTACCTCCAACCTCTCGCTGCCTTCAATAAAAACCCCTGTCTTACCACTCTCACTATCTGTCTATCATTCCTCCACTGGCCTTTAAGTATTGTTTTTACTTCTCCCCATCCATCACATGCTGACTTATGAGCAGCAGCTACCTGTTAAGAGCCAATGCAGTGAATAAATGGACTACAGTAGTGCTCAAGTGTTTTTTTTTTTTCCAAAACAGAACGGGTTAAATCAATTTCACCCGATGGTTTTGCTGCAAGTTATAGTTCATATGCAAAACAAACACCTCCAGGTCATACATGTTTGCTCTTGTACTTTTGCATTTGTAACTTTTTGGCTCATGTACATCCTCTCAGATATCAAATATGTATGAGGAACTTCCATTTTTTAGTATTTCTTCTAATACACACAGTTGAGTGTGAGGGTTTCTGCCATATGCTTTGTGAGGAAGTGAAAGATTACCCTTTTCATGGTCTCTCTAGACCCTTGGCTCACCCTGTAGTAGCGACTTAGAGTAAATAGGAAGAAAGAGAAGCTGCCATTGTGCAACTATGTGGACTGGTGACCTAATCTCCTTTTTCAACTTTTCATGTTTGGCAAAGTAAGTCTATGGACTGACTTTGTCGAACTTAAACCAACCAGCTTCAGTAACAGTGGAAACCAAGCCCGACATGAACGCCACAATGATTTAGTTTCAGGCTTTCTACATGAGCCATTAAATCTCAGTACTGAAACATACAGTACTACCACATAATGACATTAATCGTATGCAGTAACTAATAGTAGTATAGCCAGTAGTTGAGTTGTGGTGGATGGTGGATTTTATTGTTCGGGACACATATTTTGTTCTGGTGACAGTGAGTGCACATGGTGGGAAACCAACTGTGTACCCATTCTATTGTTGCTAAAGCACAAAGGTAACTATTATATTACATTAATAAAATGACAAGTGTCTTTTCACACGTGCCTCCTCACCCAGAGTATTTTACTAAAATTTGCGCAAAGCCCACTAGCGCAGGATTCTCGCTCAAACAATCAAAATGTAGCGAAAAAACAGGTGTAGTTGGAAAAATATTGTGATGGTGATATTTGTTTACAGTCGGCCTTCCAAGGTGCAGTGCAAAAATATTAACAAAAGTGCAAAAAATGGTAAAATACTACTTTCAAAATGTACAAGGCAAAAAAGAAAATACCAACAAGGCAAAACAAACAAACAAACAAACAAAAAAAAAAAACAAACAAACAGACACAGCAGCAATACAAAAATCAGTTTGGCAATTACCTTGTGTGAATTTCCCTGTCTGTCTGTCTGTCTGTCTATCTATCTATCTATCCTTCCTTCCATGCAACAAACTCCAGACTCAAAGAAAGGCTCAGGCAGCCATCTTTTAAACCCCCCTAGCCCCTCCCAGTGGGCGTTATTAATTACATAAGCTAGAAAAAAAAAAATCATTTGTTCACATTTAAACCATTTTTACAATTTTTAACCTTCAAACATTTTTCTGTAAATTTGAACCATTTCAACTAGATTTGTACAAAAATCAATAGAGAATTCATTTTTAGGGATTCATGGCAAACAACAATGGAATGGATTATTTTTTTTTTTGCATCATGTGACCACTTTGACCCGCCAGACCCATCTATTTTACACCCGGAAATCAGGCGCTCTGTTTCTCTTTCGGAATACTGAGCCGGCATGAAGGCCTGAATGAATGAATGGACGCCCGGCAGGTAAGTGGAAGGATGAATGTTGATGTGAATGCATGACTAAATTCGCCGATAGAGCTCCAAGTGTGTACCCTCTGTTAAACTCTATTCAACAGAGAAAGGAGAGGGAAAAGTGACGCAGTTTGGTACGTTGTTAGTGACGCTGGCGGGGAGGGAAATGTTTGGCGTGTATGTGGGTATGTGTGTGTGTGTCTGTGGCTTTATGCGCTGCCCGCGCAGTCAGTGAGGACGCCGCTCCTCATACACCCTAAACGTCGAAATGGTGGTAATATTTCTTAGGTTAAAATAGTTGTAATATGTGCACATTCATTGACAAAAAATGGCCCATTTAAGGGATGGAAAGTTGGGATGACCGTTTCAGAAGTATAGCTCTGTTCTGTGAGGTCTCTGTCCTTCCATGTGCGAACCTGGGGTGCTGAGGCCTGAGGCGAGGAGAACAGGAGGAGCAAGGGCAGGGAGAGCAGCAGCAAAGACCCTTAGGTTACAGAACAGAGTGGGCACCAGGAGGTGGAGAGGCTGGGTTTGCTGTGAGTTTAAAAGAAGTTTGTGAAGGAAGCCAAAAGGCAGAGAAAACTGAAGCATATTAAATTAAACGCCCACTTTGATGTTTGTCAATTTGATGTATACTGGAGAAGGTGGCTGAGCTGCCAGCTGACATTGGCAGGCTGATGTACTGTGGGCTGAGCTTGACTTTATGGCCTAATGATATGCTCAAGTGTGTACCATCAATGATAGACAACCAAACAAAAATAAAAGTTTCCTTTAATATAAATATTAAAAAATGTATTCGTGAATGCACAAATGTCCTTTTTAGTTTTAACAAGGGTTCCGGACAGTCCGTATAATCTCAAAAAGTGTCTCCATTACTGGAGTTAAATTCTGGAATGATGCCAACATAAATCTAAATCTAAATCTATAATTATCTGTTGTTGTGGTTACTTTGAGTTTCTTTGCGTTTCTGGAGGTCGGTAGCCTAAAAAAGTTGACAATACAGGATAGGTTTATATAAGCAGTCTGCTTCTGCCTTTTCAGTCAATATTCAACACATGATTCTTGATTTAGTGATTTAGTGTGAAATGTCAATATTGTGTACAATATTTGGTGTTGTCATGACCGAATAAACGACTACTACTACTACTACTACTACTACATGTGCAAGGTAAAGTTGATCCTTGGACTTATAAATCTCGGAAGGATATTGTAGTTTACATTCATGCTTCAGTGATGTTGTGTATTTATTAACAAAGGACCCCATTAGTCATTCCTGTGTCTATTCAAAACTGTCTTTTCCCAAGGTTGCTAGACTAAGAACTATCTAACAATATTCAAACAGTATTGAAGGGAAGATTTGAATAGTTCGTTCATAAATGTGTGACTGAAACAACTAGTGCTTTAGATGGTTGATATAGAGCTATTTTTTTTACCACATTTTGGAGCAAATTATTTCAAGTTTTGGTTCAAACATTGCATCATGTCTTCATATCTCCTCTACATGAAAGTACCAGTGAAGAAACTGGGAACTGTGCAGGAGATAAGCAATGTTTTTCCTCGAATTGTTTCAGAGTCAGAGTGCAAAGTAAAACTGAATCATGCAAACTATAGCTGTAAATTTAAATGCAAACTACACTACATTTTCATAGATTGATCATGCACTTTTCCAGCTGATCTGAGCTTTTTCTGCAGGATACAATAGAACTAACATCCTCCACATCATATCTTTGAGCTTGAAGTGAGCAGCCTCTTTTTTTTTTTTAAAGAACAAAAACCACAACAAAGTTTAGCGGCATGAAAGCCTGCAGAGACTGCAGCAACAACACTGTTGTATACTCATTTATACGAGGCCCTGTGTGGCAGAGAAAATCCCCTTACACTGTGCTCTTTGTTTGATTTTCGGCTAATCTCTTTGGCCAATGCACTATTTTTCTTCTGCCATGAGTGAGGGAAAGTGCTAACTTATCATTTTAGAGGGGGTTAAGAATTAAGCAGCTTATTCAGTACATGCATTTACAGTCATGTTTAACAATACGATTGTCAGCTTTTTCTAACTGGTTTAGTTTTGACATGGTTCAGAATTTTATTTTCCCCCTCATGACTCCTGCCTGGGCCAAACTCCAATTCATACGATGGATAATGAAAAACACAAAGTCGCCTAATTTCTATTCTCCTCACAGATGTGGGTCTATTGCTAGGAGATTGGGAGTGATTGTGTTCAGGCACTCGGGTCTGTGGGGGGGGGACTCAAGAGTCAGGAATTAGGTAGGATGTCACTGTGTCTTTTGAGAAAGACCAAGCCAAAAGCACATGAATAGAGAGAGAAGGACACGCAAGAAAGGATATTTTAAGAGAAAACACTCCCAGCGTGAAAGCAAAGTACTGCTTTGTTTTGTTTTCCTAGAAAACAAGATTACCTGAATTACCTTAGGAATGAAAAGGATGAGAGCGTTTCAGTTTTTTCTGGTTGTTTTCTATCTTTCTTAACCAAACAAGTTATTTTTTTTCATCATGACTACGTAATCTGATTAGACACAAAGCATTCTTGGAGTGCAAATACTGAGCATAACAGTAATGGGGTGTTTAACACGATCTACGGAGTTCCTTAAGATGGGGTCTTTGAATTACACTTAAGAGCAGCAGCTGCGGACTGACTCTTGTTTTACTGGTTGCAGGGTTAATATATGAAATAACCATATCTAGGGCTGGGCGATATGGGAAAAAGTTTATATATTTTTTCATATCAGTCTATATCAGGGGTGGGTAATTCATTTTACATGAGGCCACATAAGAAACCTGAACTGTGTTGGAGGGCCAAACCAACAATAACTTTAAATTCAAATCAGGGGGGTTCACACATACAGAAAGCAAGCCCAAATAAGCAACTACTAGTTAAAAAGAAGCCCAGACTCATGAGTTTTACAAGCGACTTCTGAGTAAAACAAGCTTTAAGTCTTTTTTAATAAGCGAACTGAGCAACTATAAGGCACCTACATAAATTTTGCCGATGTTTAAATTGTCTCTGTTCACAAATGTAAATCTAGGATGTACGTCCAAAAGGAAATAAAACAATGGCTAGGTTTTCAAAATAAAAGCCACACACTTTTATAGCATGTTGATGATTTGACTGACAGACCTCCCAAACGGCCGGGCAGGGACATCCAAAGGGCCGGATGTGGCCCTCAGGCCATAATGCCCAGGTCTGGTCTATATTGATATCAGGATATAAAACCATGCTAGTAACGGGTTGGACCCCCTTTTGCCTTCAGAACGGCCTCAATTCTTCGTGGCATAGATTCAACAAGGTGCTGGAAGCATTCCTCAGAGAGCTTGGTCCATATTGACATGATGGCATCACACAGTTGCCGCAGATTTGTCGGCTGCACATCCATGATGCGAATCTCCCGTTCCACCACATCCCAAAGATGCTCTATTGGATTGAGATCTGGTGACTGTGGAGGCCATTTGAGTACAGTGAACTCATTGTCATGTTCAAGAAACCAGTCTGAGATGATTCCAGCTTTATGACATGGCGCATTATCCTGCTGAAAGTAGCCATCAGAAGTTGGGTACATTGTGGTCATAAAGGGATGGACATGGTCAGCAACAATACTCAGGTAGGCTGTGGCGTTGCAACGATGCTCAATTGGTACCAAGGGGCCCAAAGAGTGCCAAGAAAATATTCCCCACACCATGACACCACCACCACCAGCCTGAACCGTTGATACAAGGCAGGATGGATCCATGCTTTCATGTTGTTGACGCCAAATTCTGACCCTACCATCCGAATGTCGCAGCAGAAATCGAGACTCATCAGACCAGGCAACGTTTTTCCAATCTTCTATTGTCCAATTTCGATGAGCTTGTGCAAATTGTAGCCTCAGTTTCCTGTTCTTAGCTGAAAGGAGTAGCACCCGGTGTGGTCTTCTGCTGCTGTAGCCCATCTGCCTCAAAGTTCGACGTACTGTGCGTTCAGAGATGCTCTTCTGCCTACCTTGGTTGTAACGGGTGGTTATTTGAGTCACTGTTGCCTTTCCATCAGCTCGAACCAGTCTGGCCATTCTCCTCTGACCTCTGGCATCAACAAGGCATTTCCGCCTACAGAACTGCCGCTCACTGGATATTTTTTCTTTTTCAGACCATTCTCTGTAAACCCTAGAGATGGTTGTGCGTGAAAATCCCAGTAGATCAGCAGTTTCTGAAATACTCAGACCAGCCCTTCTGGCACCAACAACCATGCCACGTTCAAAGTCACTCAAATCACCTTTCTTCCCCATACTGATGCTCGGTTTGAACTGCAGGAGATTGTCTTGACCATGTCTACATGCCTAAATGCACTAAGTTGCCGCCATGTGATTGGCTGATTAGAAATTAAGTGTTAACGAGCAGTTGGACAGGTGTACCTAATAAAGTGGCCGGTGAGTGTATATCACGATATAAAAATGAAATTTAACAGTGATTATTGGTAGCATGTCTTTTCCTAAACAATAAGCTACTGCATCTGTGAGGTCTTTGTGTCTCTTCGACATTTGGTTGTCAGGCATTGCACAAGAGAAAGCAGACTGAATGGTCGGCTGTTTCGGCTGCACAGGCGCTGTGGGCTCCTTGCTCTGCTCAAGGTTTTGTAACCTTTTGCCTTGTGCGTGCTCTCCCGTGATTTCCACACCGCCGACGTTTTTGTGCAAGTGTTGTTGACGATCTGTTGAGCCTTCATCTGCATTTCTGTCAGGGGTAACACTCATTTTCTTGTTTTCTCACTGACAGTGCTGTTAGCTTCACGTGTAAAAGTGCTACGGCTATGTGTAGCTGTGGCCTGCAACTACGCAGTTGTTCGCTACTTGGTTCTAATTCAGCACATGATTGGTCCAGCGCAAAGCGGACCTGGAGCAACTCAGCTTTACATTGGCTATCTTTATAGTTTACCAAAACATGGCAGAATGCTGGTTATCGAAAAGCATATCGACCATGTTTTGTATTGATATTGAGGGAAATTAATTTTCGATATATCGTTTTATCGCCCAGCCCTAACTGTATTAATTACTAACAATAAACCAAAGTATTGTATTCAATAGTGTCTCTGTGAAGAAAAAAAGATGGATTTCCTTCTGACAAAATATAGCCAGATTATTAGAGGTGTAGAGCCACAGTCGAAAACTTGACTGCAGGTCATGATCCTCTTTGGTCACCACATGTTTTGGAGTCTACTCTGTGCTGGTCTGACGGTGCTTTCACAGCTCATCTCTCATTCAGCACTGGCTGGAATAGGCTCATGTTTTTTACAAAAAAATATCCAGAATTGACATAATAAGAACAGCGTGTCTGATTTAGATCAGGATTATTCACGTGTGTCTGTCAGTGCAGTCTTATGTGTGACACAAAGCTCTCAGAGCACACTCCGCTGTGCTCCATTGGCCCCATTAGCAGCTGCTGTGAGTCACTGATGTCAATGTTAACACACTGTATCCAGAGCTGGTGGCAGAATAACTCATTTCTAGGAAAAGTGCAGCAAAACGTACTACATATGAAATGACATGCAGCCTATTTCCTTTTCTCCTGCAGCCATTAGAGAGAAATGGATATAATGTGGAGCATACAGAGGATGTACAACACACGCTGTTTATGGATTTGTTTGGTTTCTTTTACCAGCAGGAGATCAATTTATTTGAATCAAACTAATGTACTCTGGAGGGGAAAAAAACAGGTGTGTATGAAGCTTAAAACATAACATGTAATATGTAAGAATCCAGACTGAATTGGGAAGCTCACCTCTGGTGTGGTTAAGAATAACAGATGAAGAGCTCTTGTCAGAAATATAATTAAAATAGCTGACAATTTATGTTCGTCCCGTTCAGTGATTGTAATAACAGAGCAGGGGAAAGAGTTGCACAGGTTTTAGAGGTTCAAATCAAACCCTAACCTCAGAGTGAGTGTCTCAAATATTCTAATCAAGGTAAAATATCATAAGACTGTGCGCAAACTGTTCCCTTTCAATCAACATAAACGTATCAATCAAGTCATCTGTCATTTCAGTCTGTTTCATAACCTGTAAAAAAAGAGCTTCAAGGCAAAGTTGAGAAACTGATTACAACATTTTCTGGTATTAAATTGTAAAAATTTTATCGCACATTTTACCGTAACAGTCATTCTTGGCTTCCACTGCAGGTCTCCACACTTTAGACACTCTTACAGATACCTGAAACGGTTCACATGGGGTTTACTTTTAGGATCTGTTTGCTGTTTTCTTTCTGACTGACTGAAACGGAAACATCTTCAGGAGTCGGGATAAGCTGTGTGGGCTCACAGACAGATGGGCAGTTTTACAAGCAAATAAATTCCATAAATCTACTGATGCTGTTAAAGACGCCATCAAACCCAACTGTTTCATGTTCTATGCCTCTATTAAAAACATGGTTGGGAATGAATGAGGACAGGACCGGCTGTTGTTTGGGCAACAATGACAACCAAATGGTGTATAATGACAAAAACCTCCCTGATCAGACGTGTTTCAGTGATGCAAATTAGTTTAAAAGCATTGTTCCAATTCAGCCACTGTTAAACGTGGAAGAGGACTAAATATATCCTGTTTGATCTGTTTGTCTGAAGCGCTGTCGAGGATCCTGTCCTGACATATAACCTCTAAAACACCTGTTCATTGTGCTGAGGAGGATATTGAAATCCAAACAAGAGGACCAACCTGGACAGGTGTATTAGTACACCGCCCTCTAGTGGACATTTGCAGGTCAGCATAATCCACCAAACACACCATAGAGTAAACTGTGTTTAATCTGATGCCTTTCTTTTTTTATTAGGAAACAGATCCAACTCAGATCCAACAACCATTTGGATGATACGTTTACATTATGCTCGGGAATAGAATTTAACAAGATTTTCTTTATAAGTACAAAATTTTCTACAAGCTGCTATGTGGCCATGGCTGTCAAACACTCTCATCTCATCTGAAGTGGAAATGCCCTGAAAGTGTTCGGGTCCCACTTTCCTAATTTAAAATAATTACAAACTTCTATTAATTTAATCTAATTTGACTTTAACCCTTTATTCCCTTTCATATCATTTTTGATACATACTTTTATGATACTTCTATCAAATCAATATGATCAACAAATTACTAAAAAAACACTTGAATACATTCCGATAAATGATAAAAATCAGTTTCCAAAAACATTTAATGTATCAAACAAGAAAAATAAATATATTTGTTAAATTTTAACGACATTTTGATTTTTCTGTTTTTCAGCAGTAAGTGAAATAAACATTTCAGCTCCCAAAAAATTTGAATTTTCTGGCCATAATTTGCAGTTTCAGGCATTAAAGGGTTAATGAATGTCCGTCTTTCAATTCTGAATCTTTACAGAGCTGCATCATTGGAATCTGTGCTGAACTGCTCTGGATTAATCTGACAAAAACTGGGAAAAACATGGAAAACATGGTACAGCCAAACACCTGAGAAGAGCTAAATCAAAGAACTTAAAGCTCCTGTTAAGACTCTTTATCTGGTTTTCAAACAGTGTTATTAATGCTGATGCCTCGAACTAGAGCATTGGGAGGAAGACTGAATACTTCTATTCATTTTTTCCCACCAAATTTGACACTAGCAGAAAGTTCCTCATGGGGGGGCTTTGAAACGTTAAATTCGGCTCAGCTGTTGCCTCGTACACAGAAAGCAGTCTACTGTAACCCAGGGAAACAAACTGCTAGATCATATACTCCCCAGATCATTTGTGTCTCCCGCCTGAGTGATTGGATTTCAAAGCGTTCCCATAACTCTATTTAAAACTGTCTATTCAATGTTGATATTGTATTTAATGCTAAATGGTATCTCTTGTATTTTAAGGAAGGATTACAGCTCAGGAAAAGACAGATTTTGTGTATTTTAGAAACAAAGGGATCAGAGAAATCATGACAAGTGAAACCCTGTAAATGAGACCACACAGGATCCTGTCATCAGCAGGTTTTAATCTCTAAAGAGTGTTTTTCTGTGTCACTTATTCTCCTGAAGAGAAAACATCTTAATGATAACGCAGAGCCCTGAGGGGCCACTTTGCTTGAAATAACCGCATCAGAAAACCATTCATCATTCCCCTTCTGTCTGCGCTTAAGAGCTTTTTAACCTCGACAACACTCGAGATTCAGATTTACCTCCAGAGCAGGCTCGCGCTGTCAGGGAAACATGATTATTGTGTTCTGTGCCAACAATGACAGTTTTTATCAGTCATTACTCAGATTTATTGTTTTCATGTAAAGGCACTCTGTGTAGTTCTGATTCACATTCACACCCACGAGCACAAAAACTACAGACTAACGTATGCTTCTCTTAAAGGGATATTCCAGCATAGAATTAAGTAAGGGTCAAACACATCGTAACACCGAGCTAGACACGCCGTCGAGAGATGAATGTTGCCGACCGCTTGCTTTTCTAGTCATACCAACTTTTCTTTATCATTTCCTTGAAGTAATAATCATCATATTAATCATTTTGCACTGCAGACGCCGTAGTTCTTCTGCCTCAGTGTCTCTGTCTGATTGCATGTCCACTAAGTAATGATCATCAATGTTCTTCCTTGAGCTGCGTCACTCCGCAGCAGTCGATGGATTTGCATGGAGTTCTCCGTACTTAAGCAGCTGCTGGAAGAGAGTAGGTGAGTTGTGTTTAGTCTCTTTGCTAAAGAAATCAGGCAAAGCTAAAAAGATGTTTGGGTGCTAGTGCTGTGGCTGGGACCCTACATTTACTGTTGCTGAAGTTAGGTGCTGTTCTGAGCATTATTTGTGGCTATAGAGTGGCTTTTTGGTTGAGCATGTGGCTCTCTGTATTGCTATCTGCGGTTGTTACTAAAGTTGGTATAACTGGAGAAGCAAGCGGTCGGCAACATTCATCTCTCAACGGGGTGTTACGGTGCGTTTGACCCTAACTTAATTTTACGCCAGAATATCCCTTTAAAGCAGGTTGTGTCTCTTATAAGATCTTAACAGTCATGAAGTGTTGAACAATGTGTAAACACCCTCTAACACAACACACAGTGAGCATGTAAATAAGATAACTTATTCTCATAGTATGGCTATATGACTTCTATAGATATGCTGTAGAGACAGGTAGATTTTATAGTATTAACATCAAAATAACAAAGTGCATTAATATCGATATCTATATATCTATTACAACATCTATCTATATCTATATACAAGTGTGTATATCCAGTATATTCCGAATGTACATTTGAGCACATTTTGTACAGAGAGTACATCTTGTGTGTAACCTGACAGGACCTTTAGGTTGTGTCACAAGTGTCACAGTGCAATATGAAGTTTGAGCTCCCGTGTCAGTCACATGGATGTGTGACTCACCTCACATGTATGAAGCAGAAACAAAACCATTGAATAAATAGTTAATATTTAACTGGTATTTAGTTAATATTTAACTTGTTCTTTTGGTTCTACGCTGTTAAAATGTCAGAAACCTCAGGAAGACTTTTATTTATTTATTTATTTTGTGACGCTGCAGTTTGTCGACTCTCCACAAGATCGCAGCAGAGATCACACCATGTCTACCTCCAAACGAACCCCAGGTATACTGTACGTCACTGTGATCAAAGATGACAGTTAAAAATACCAACCTCATTACAATCATTCAAAGTCATCTCTGAACTATGATCAACACAACCTTTTACATTCCTTCATAGTTTTTTTATTATGAAACAAATCAGGTCAAAGAAGAACAGAAGACGTTGTTTCCATTGCATCAGTAGAGTCGTGTCCTGAGCCAAAGAATTCAAGGAAAAAAAACACCAGAACAAAAATTTACCTCAGACTGAAGCAGGTGCTTTACTGTCAACTCTCAGATCTCCTGTTTCTTTTCCTTGTGAGGGAAAACAGAGCAGGTGAGACTGACGTTATTCCTTCTTCCTCTGAGTTCACGTAGGCCAAAGACAACACTCATAGATTGTATTTGAACTGTTAGATGAATGAGAGATGTATGTTACCGTTTAATTTGCTCAAAAATAGTGTGAATAATGAGAACCATTCCATCAATACCAGAGAATACATCACCACCCCCTTGTGTGTGATTTCTGTTCTGATAAATGGGGTCATGGAGGCTTGGTTAAACATCTGAAGCGCCGATCTTTGTGACATCTACTCAAGAAGGAGTACACGTCATGAGGAAGTCGGTGAGGTCTGTTATTTATGTCTGTGGGGGTTGAGAAACTTTGATAATCCCAGATCACAGGAGAGGTTAAAGTTTACATTTGTGGCTAAGTGACGGGATGAGATCACTCAGATAAACATTGTACTTAGCATGTTTCCCAACACCTGACCTCATTGTACTCCTCACCACAACATTTGAACCGTGACTTTTAGCTAATGTAACCCATGAGGCATGAATTAAGATGTGGAAATGTGCTTATCTCTCTTGATGATAGAAAGTGCATGTGGTCGTGTCGGTAGGCTAAATATAAAGCTACTGCTGTTAACTTATTTTACTAAAAAATGTCACAGATAGGATAAAAAATTATTATTTTATAGATAACTATTTTGGAAGCCCAAATGTAAATACATACCAAGTTTTTACGTCCTATTCGCTCCTCAAACTGTGACTGTAGAGGTCTTAATGTTATCAATGTAAGCCTCAATCTGGTGGCAGGATTAAAGAAGATTAAAGACTCTTCCATTGAATCAACAAAAGGTCAAATAATTTCTCGAGATTCAGGAACAAAGTATTAAAAAGAAAACAACTCGCTCATAGGCTCATATCCCAACATTTGAACCTTCAGAGGAAGCGTTCCTCCTTTCCCATAATTTTTAAACGTTACCTGAGTTCTGATGTTAGCTGTTGAATGTGACCTGATTTCACTCTGGATGTTCACTGGACATTCTCTTTGTGGAAGCTTATCAACCGGGTTGCTGTGGAATGACCACAATAAGCTCAGCTATCAAGATTTACATGACCTTTAACTTGGAGCACAATAATAATACAGTAATTATGTGAATTTTGCACCCTGAGTTATGACGGTATTAGAAGATGGCCACCGTGAAGATGCACCTAGCGTGGCAAAAATCACTGTAAGGGTTACTATTCGTACTTTATCTTTTGTTACATCCTGTTTGTTTGGGGTTTGGACTAGCTTTGTTTCAAGTAACCTGGTTTTGTGTTGGCTCATTCTGGGTATCTGGTTTCACAGAGGGTAGTGGGTAATAGTAGTGTAGCAAGTTTGAATCAGAACACTTCCTGAATTATCTGTTTCCTTATCATTTAATCCTGTAAACTCTGAATGTACTCAGAAATATAATTTACCTCTAAATACATCCACACACACACACGTTTCTCTGAACTCGACCCGCTATTAGCCTACTTTTTGGGGCCCTGGTGTCAACCCTAGAGGATCCCAGCTCGGAGGTGTTAAGCAATACTTGGTTTGGCAGCTTCCCAGCAGCTGAGACACTTCAGCTACCCTGTTGATACCTAATCTAGCTCTTGCACATACACACTCACACACACACACACAAAGGTAGAAACACAGGCAGGTATGCACATGAACACGCACGCAATGCTTACGCAAGCCTCGGCCAGTTCTGCCTGAGGTAGTCATAACACACAGATGGTGGAGACATGCCAAGCTCTTATAGGTCAAACAATGATTCATCCGCTAAAGTGGATTAAATAAAGAAGAATATATGTATTAGAGTTTAAATAGAGCTGGTGTTCAGTGTTTGAAGAGCTGACCCCGGGCTTTATCCGTTAGTCTTGAAGCGGAGGGGAAAAGAAGAGAGTGGCTTATATGCTCCCCTTGTGTATTCCAGGAAAAGACACTGACCCGCTATTGACATTTGAGTGTTTGAAGAGTTAAATGTTACATTACGCAAAGGTCAGAGAAGAGTAAACGGTTGGAGGCTGCGGCAGAAAGAGGGCTTCTTTTTTCCCCCTTGCAAGGATGAAATTGAAAACATGGAGGAAAATGAGAAATTTTATAGTCGCTCCTACAGCAATGAGGAGCCGCTATACCGAGAGAATTCTTGAAGGGGAACCTTGGTGACGGGAAGTGGAGCTGGAGTTTTGTGGTGGTGTTTGCACGTGTGAGCGAGAAGGACAAGATAGAAAAACATTCCTGCGAGTATGAAAAAATGTGATCTTTATTTAACATTTCCACACATATTTCAAATATACATATTTACATCTTTTGTACAATGAATACATCTCGTGTGTAACCTGTTGGGACCTTTAACAGCCTTTTAGGTTGTGTCACAAATACATAATTCACAGTGCAATATGAAGTTCGTGCACCCGTGTCAGTTTACTCTACATGTCACATGAATGTGTGACTCACTTTACATGTATGAAGCAGAAACGAAACCATTAAATTACTTTTCTACAAGGAACAATCCAGATCGTCGCAAATCTGGTCCCATCTGGTTTGTAAAGCAGATGAGAGAAATAATTAATGAACGGCAACAGACGTTTTATCAACCTTCTTCACGACCGAAAAATTAGGAAAACGAGCTTCTCAGATTTGCCAGATTTGGTACCGCTGTCGAAACGAAAGCGCCAGAATGAGAGAGCTGGCTGCAAAACTGTAAGGCTGACTGCTGCTTCATGCACATGGCACTATCAAAGATGAAACATCTTTAAGAACGCGGTACATCATGTCACCAACTATGATGACTAGTCTCCATGGATCAACAGCTTTCAGCAGCCAGAAGAGAAAAAAAAAATTAAATAAAGACAGGAAATAAAAAAGTACCATTAAAAAGAGGAAACAGTCAGAACAGATTCTTCCAGCCAAGGTCAGGACCATTCTCCACAGACACGCTCAAGTGTTGAGTCATCATCAGACAACCAACATCAAATATCGCCTGACTGCAACTGATTCAGAGCCGCTCAGTTTATGAAACACAGTGATACGGGCACAACACTAAGCACAGCTCGGCTTTGTTAGAGCAACACAGCTTGACATGATGTTCCAACAGGAAAAAAGAGAAAAAAAAAACAACCTCGACTGCACAACTTAAAGTCTTCATCTTCTCTTATGTTTCTCTCTCTCATTGGATAGTTTCTTGACTGGATTTCTATTACTCATCTCCTCAGAAATGAATAAAACTGTTGGCTAGTGAGTTATTTCTTATTGCATCTCTATCTAGCAAGGACTATTTATTTCTTGGAGTTCTTCAGACTTTGCAAATTGCACAAGAGCCAAAACAGACTGATGACTGCCATATTCGCAAAATAAAAAGTCACTTCCTGTTCAGATGCAACCTCTAAATGATATTAAGCTGGCAGCATATTACTTTTCTTTAGATTAAAACTGTCAAAAACAAGACATTGGAAATGTACTTCACTCTTTTGGCGTGTTAGCTCATTGTCGCTGCTTATTGTTGAGCGTGTGTGTATGATAAACTCTCTCTTTTCTGAGAGAGTCTCACACCAGTAACACCCTGCATCTCTCAAACCTTCTGCGCATGGTGTGTGATTTGTAAATGTTGAGTAGTTGCCAGATTGGCAGCGAAACATCTTGGTAGCGTCCCTGCTGAGTGTGACACATCAGTCCTTTGCTAACCATCTTTCTCACTCGATGACACCGCCTGCTGCCAGACTTCCAGCTTGTGCTCGGCCTTCCTCGAGCCCGTGTGTCGGTGAGTCAGCCGGTGAAGCCTGCAGCCTGGTCAGAGAGTGAGAGGAGCAACATCCCCGTCTCCTCCTCCCCTGTTCAAGAGTCTTGTAATGCTTTCTGAAAAGTCCAGGCTGAGAGCTAGCATATTGACGACTGTATGCCATGAGTAAACTATCTGGTATGTGCTCATAGCAGCCCGTAGAGATTCATCTGATAACATAATCCGGCAAAATCTGAGTCTTTGTTATTTATCTTAGCACCAAATGATTTCAAAAATGCACATAAAGAAACACAATGAATGATCATTGTGAACAATGCCCTTAGAGAGTAACACATATATGACGACAAATACAGTACAGTAGGATTTGTAGAAAGCTTGAGGGTGTATGTACACTCCACAGTACACAAATGGATTTCTAAAAAGTGCCAATGTAAAAAAGAAAAACACAATGAATCCCTCATAGCATTTCCTGTTTTGGTCCCTCAGCCAGACTCAGCTGATTCAAGTCCGTCAGCAGAACAGATCATCGTCCTCTTCCACGTCAAAGGACGGCACCATCTGTTCCGCCGAGCTCACTTCCTGTTCACCCAGCACCACTTCCTGTGAGGACGGCGGCTGGTGGAACCACGGGTGAGCGAGCAGCTCGGTGACCGTGAGTCTCTCCCAGGGTTCTTTCCTCAGCAGGCTCTGGAGCAGACACTTGGCTTTGGGAGAGAGGCCCTCTGGCAAGCAGCACTGGCCTCTGCGGATTTTGGAAAACAGTGTCGCCGGGTCGGGGTCGTGGAACGGGTAGCGGCCGACGAGCATGGTGTAAAGCATGACTCCCAGGCTCCACATGTCGGCCATCTTGCCGGAGTAAGGCGCGGAGCTGCTGAGGATCTCTGGGCTGACGTAAGCCGGGCAGCCGTGGGTGTCCGACATGGAGTCGTCATTTGGGTCTTCCAGGACGCGGCAGTCCTCGAGACTTTCTAGTCTCACGTGTGTTCTGTGAAGAAAAAGTCAAAATATGGTCAGGACAGGAAACACTCTGTGCAGTGTGTACACGTTTGCTTTGGTGAAACATTTGAGATTTCTCTTAAAGAACAAGCCTGCTGTTGTAAAGTTAGTGAGCACAGACTTTGATCTGATGGCTATGACATCATTTGTTATCAAACCCGGGATTTCCACTGGAACAGCGGCGATTTTCACCGTACGCCAATTCCTACTGGACCTGTTTGTCAGGGGAATTTCGTAGTGGATTACCGACAGAACGAATCGTGAGAACTCACAAGAACCCGCGGATTCACGTGCAATCGCGCGATAACAAGTCTTTAGCCACATAGGCTAACCATATAAGCAGTAGATTGTTTCCTTCCAGAGGAGGAAATCCACTTCTACACTTCTAAAATCAGCATACTCTCATCCATGGTGTCATTGGGATGAAATGCTGTCGATAAACCTTACACTTGTCCGGTGGAAATTGACTCATTAACTTGAATGGCTACGATCAGCGGATACAGCCTTTTCGTCGTCATTCCGGATGTGGTGGAAATTGGGGGTTACGCAGAAAGTTACTGCAGATTCTTGCAAAACCTCAGAACTCCGTGTTCATCTCGCCGTCTTCACCGGTGTTACACAAGCATACAGTATTTCTAGCCGAATGTCATGCTCTTGTCGGAAATGATGTTCTCAGCATTCCCATGTACAAGAATATTTAAGGCACAAGTACACCACTGTTTTTGCATGTGTGTATGTGTGTGTGTGCATGTGCATGTGAGTCTATTTCTGACCGCGGCTTTGTTTAACACTGTCAAACATTTCAGGGATCTGTTATATGTAAGACACTGATTGCATCATGGAAAAAACAAGCATCCTTCCCTTGGCCTTAAGCTGACAGATGGACAGAAGCACACACTCGTACACATACAGATAGATACAACACACACATAAAAAAACACCAGACACCAGTGATCATACTGTGACCCATGTGCACAACACTGAAAACCCACTCGAGAAGCTGGCTAAGCAAAAAAGAGACTTCCTGGCACACACACATGGTCTCATAAACACATGCATTAATATACAACTACAACCCCCCCCTCCACACACAGTATGCTATATTTAGCCACATTAATGACAGGACATACATTAGCAGAGCGGCTACGACTGTGAGTGTTTATCTGGAGGAAAATATGAGACATTTATGAGTGTAATGATTGACAGGAGAAAGATTAAACAGCATATGACGGGAAAAATATCACTAAATAATTTCAAGACTTGTTAGTTTTCCGCAGCAGCAGATGTGCTTTGTTTTTAATTAAAATTTCATTTGTGCCTCTTGAGATCCGCGCTCACAGCTAACACGGCGATTGAGGCTTTCCTCACCGCTTTACGTCACATTTAGAGGGTCAACTCTCTTCACTCAGGCGGAGAGACGTGAGAGAGAAGTCGACAGCCCAGGAGACAGGCGGATGAAAAGGAGTGACAGACAGAAGAAAGGCGGAGGTAAAAAAAGCAACAGATATTTAAACACTGAGATAGTGGAGGAGATAAGTCAGGAGAGGAGAAGTGGAGCGCTGGAGACAGAAAAGGAAACAGAACAGAGAGAGTTAGTGGGGTGGAGAGAGTGACTCATCCTTCTGTTGAGAGTACATATCTCGTCTCTCTCTCTCTCTCTCTTTCTCGAGCCGAGGCTATCTGCACCTGGGTCCCACACTCGCGGCGCCAGCCATCCCATAATTACCCTCAAATGGCTGTTGCCACATCAGTGACGCACGGGAAGGCTGGCCCAGCAGTGAAGCTCTGCATGCTTCATAGTGCTAGTCACCTTCCCTAAACTGGCTTTTCCAACTGCACTGCCTGTGTGTGTGTATGTGTATGTGTGTTTAAATGGAGACAGCATTTGTCAAATTGTTGTGACTTTCTCACTCTCTGGCTCGAGCCCCGCTTTGTCGGGGCTGGGACGTTGCATCACAGCGCGATTGTCGGGGCTTGAAAAGACGTCTGATTGTGAATTTGAAAGAATGTGTGACGAGATAAATGAGGTCACGCCGAGTCGGGAGACATTACAAGAAGACTTGTGTTGATGTGTGTCAAACATACGCGCATTTTGTGGACATGAAAAAGCCCGTTCCATGATGTCACATGGTCAGTAACTCCGCATCACAACAATTTGAATATCCGCTTTCACACGCACATCACTGTAGAGGAACTACGTTATCTTTGCAGAGAAGTAAGTGTAAAAACAACTCTGACACCTCGCAACTCCAGGGTCAAATGGGTCAATCCAACTGCATCAGTGTTGCTATGCTGTCGCCATGGTATCCAAGCTTGCATACAATTGGACATTTACATCTGGATGTGCGCTTACCGCATATACAAACATGCATGCACAGACACACACGAACACAAAGTAAGAAAATGAGCTATGCAGCCTCCCCCCCCTCTCCACCTCTCCCTCCTCTTCCCCTCTGCACATATACACAGTGACTCATCGCTCTGCAGCCGTATAGCTATCAGAGGGACACAACCAACTTCAACTTCTCTCACTGCCTGTCTGCTCTCATTCATCTAGTGTGACCCTGCGAAGCCAGAGGTCACGGCTGGGGAATGTTACTGTTGAAAGTCTCCATTAAAAAAAAAAAAGCTTTCTCGGTACAGACTGGAGAGGAGGAGAGGAGACGAGGGGGGGAGTTGTTGTGTGGCATCAGCAGTCTCTTACAGGAAAGGGAGTGACGCAAGGGCAAAGAGGCGACAAATAGTTTTGTAAGCAGAGGTTTTTGTATCTTCCTCAACAGTATGCAGCAGTCAGTAAGTAATGCAGACACTGAGGCGCGTGTATATGTGTGTGTGTGTGGGAGCCGGTTCAAAGCAAAAAAAAAAAAAGCGTTTTGAATTCCTCCCTCATGTATGAAAGTGTATCTGAATGAATCCTTGTTGGAAGCATCTGCAGCTCACTTATGATGTAATTTATCAATAAATAATGAGTAATAAATGTATTCTAAGCTATAGACCGCAGAAGGGGGCTGATTGTCTCATTCACCAGCCTCGTCTCGCAGCTCTGCCAAACTACCACCCACTACATTCACACACACACACACTCACACATGCAGAAAGGACACACAAAACACTCGTACAAAAAGACACACCGAGAGTGAGAAAGGGAGACAGACAGAGAGGGCGAAAATCTGGGAAGCGATGCCGTCTGCCTCCACAAGTACAGAACCTCCTACTCTATCTGTGCCCACATGGATATCTGCACACATGGCCTGTGTGTATTAGCTGCTGCCATGTTTGCTTTTACTGGCACGTCCCATTGCACTGCATTGAAGTCTAAGTGCATCCAAATAAAGTTAACTGGATGAAGATGAGTTGATTTAGATAAATAGATGAGAGCATAAGTGAACATATTCGCATGGTGCTCATTTGAAGATGCTTAAATACTGTCACAAAGTTGTTCAAGGATGTTCGCCCTTCACATTTGAATTCTTTAAGCCTTTCTTACATCTTGTCATCTACTAGACCTCCTGCATATCACTGCTTCCTAGAAAGTTGCTTAAAATTATCATTACTGTTTGGTAGTTTAACACTGCACAACAGCAAATGCTTAAACTCCAACCTCGCGTAAAGTTAGCCTGGAGCAAACCGCTAACTCGTTGCTGCTAGCTAAGGTTATTAGCTGACATGACGTTTGGAAAGTGTTGGTGTTTGCTTGTTTTGAGCTTGTTTTTCTTTGAACTGTGGACAGATTTCTACCCAGTTTCTTTGTCAGTTATCTGTTTACTTGTTTATTTATCTGCAGAGATAATGTAATAGCACTTATCAGGTCGCCTACCCTACATTCAAGCAACCCACGATCTGGGACAGCATTGTTTGGTTTCAAATAGCCGCTGTGTGAATGTAATGAGTAGGGCCCGACCGATACGTTTTTTTTATGAAGTTATAAAATATATATATATATATATATATATATAGATATATATATGTATATACTGTAGATATCTAAAGCATACTACATACTGTAGGTGTACTGTAGGCTACTGCTCTTCACACTGACAGGAAGACCACCTGATCAAACTCGGACCAGGAAAGCGTTTTCAACTACCGTCATTGTGCTGTGCTGTGCTGTGAGGTAGTTAGTGATGGACATTGTCATGAGGTCGCTGTGCCATCTACAGGATAAGTCAGGGAACTTGTCAAATGGCGGAACATTTCCGAAGTGAAACCGAATCTTGTTCCCCGCATTTTATTTCTGAAAATATTGGCGAAAATCGGCGAGTTTTGGCCGATTACCGATTAGTCTCAAACGGGCTAAAATTGGCTGATTTAACTTTTAGTGTTGTCTGACTCTGTGCACAAACATTTGACATCTAGGGGTGGAAGAAAAAATCGATTCACCTCAGTATCACAATTCTTTGTTTTGCAATTTTTAAATTGAATTTTTTATTCGAATGTAAGAATATGTCTTAAAATTTGACTTACATGTGATGTTTAATTTTGGGGGAAATATGATTCCTGGAATAGTCAGTAGACAATCATAATCTTTCAACTGTTTCATTGGTGTAAAAAATGCAGACTAAATCGAATCGGGAGAAAAGCATATCTTCCCAGCCCTACTTTATTCCTCACCTTTTTTCATCAGAGAAGACAAACTTTCTCAGTTTGAGGTCACCCAAAACGATGCCGTTCTGGTGGCAGTGTGCCACAGCCACAGCCACCTGCCTGAACAGCCTGCAGGCCTGCTCTTCATCCAGCCTGCGACAGCTCTTCACCAGGGTGTGCATGTCCCCAAAGTCCTTGTCCAGGAACACATAGGCCTTGCGCTCCCCCAGGATGATGTCCCTGATGCCGGCCACATTTTTGTGAGGCGGTAGGATCCCGTAGGGTCTGATCTTTTCCTGATACACCCCCATATCAAAAACCTGAAAGAAAGACGGATACAGAAGAAGAGGAGAGGGATGCAGGATGGAAATTAGGGAGGGAGGGAGGGAGGGAGAGAGTGTGTGAAGAGGAGGAGGAGGCAACGGGTCAGTGTGTTCTTAATGATCATCAGAAGGAACAAGCATGCAAAATTTGGCAGAGAGTTAAAATAAAGGCGTAGGATCAGCTTTGAATCCAGCTCTGCTTTTTTGTGCATGAGCATGACAAATGAATCACCAAAGCATGAAGTGATTAACTTTATTAATCAACAAAGCCAAACGCCTGCAGGTCTTTCATGCAAAATAAACACATGGGATATGGAACAGAGGAGAGACCCTGTCCTTATCAGAGCACATCCTCATCATGATAGCGTCTCTTTGTCTCACATGTTTGCATTTTGAGTGTGTCACGGCGTGGCGTATTGCAGTGACGTGTATGCAAATGAGGCGAGTTGACAGACTGTGTGAAACCTCAGTGCCAAGGAGAGCTGGGCTATTTGTCACAATACAGCAAAGGTAAAAAGGTTGGAGTCGTTTGTCACGTATGGTAACAGATTCATAATAATCACAGACCCGGTGACACTTTCAGATTTGAGATCATGAAGCAACACTACCATTGTTGCGCAAAATTGTGACACATTTTTTGCATGAGATTGAGTGACATTGGGTGAAAAAAGACGACTAAATGCTGATGACATGTCAGACAGGCTGTTGAGCAACGCGCTGTCTTGAAACACCATTCATTCAGAGAAATTGCACAATGGGGAGATTGCGCATGCATACCTTGCACAGCAACTCATCGCCTGTGTCCGTGTTCATCGCGCTGTGCATGCTCTCTCGGTCCGCCAGAGGTAGAAGCAGAAACGGTCCTATCCTGGATGGACCCTGGTGGGTTCCTGGGATTGGATTTGAAACGGGGCTGACAGGGGATCCAGGTGAGGTACCGAGAAGGAGTCCATGTGTGTCCCCCGCTTCGGCGCTCAGCCTGGCACATTTGGCCGGCGGCTGATCGTCTGAGTCCAGCCGCTTGTGCGCGACTCTCCCGGTGGTGCGGATGCAAGGTGCTGGGGTGCTCCACTGCAAGTTCATCCTCATAGACCCGTTCAAAGCAAAAAAAAATCAGACTCTGGTTCGTTCAAAGATGAGTCCTTTGGTGGTTAGAAGAATTTACACACTCTTCGCTCCATTTTCCCGTGTGAGACTTGACATAAAGATGAAACTTCGGACGCGATTTTTTGGTAATCCGACCACGTCCTTTCCTTTCCTCTTGGAAAGTGAATACCCGCTCCTCTGAGGTCTTTGTACTTTTTAGTGAGAGAAACCCTGATCTCTCAGAGAGATAAAGAAAAGACAGACAGACAGGGAGAGAGACAGAGGAGAGAGAGAAAGAGAGACCGCCTCACACTCGGAGAGGCAGAGAGTGAGTGAGCTCCGGTGATGTTGAGCTCAAACACTCCGCCCGACCAGTCCAGCCTCCTCCTGGTGACACAACCATTGAGCAATCCAGTAACGGCACCGAGTCTGTTAGCTCAGCTCAGCTCTGATGAAACTGCCTGCTGTATTACGTTTCGGAGAAGACAACGTGAGCATGTGGTGCAAACATTATTCTGTGTATATGAAGCTGCAGGTTCCTGCTCTGAGGAACCCTGACTGACCATGTGAGAGGAATGAAGAAACCCTTATTTTTCAATGGCTGCCTCATCAAGAATGCACGTGCTTGGACAATAATTAACAATCTTTCAAACTCCCTCAGTGACTCACTCTTTCCTTCATGTGGAGCTTTATTAGCACAGACCTCTATGGCACCTGAACTATTTGCTCTCCAAATGTTGTGCCTTGAGTGCGAGCTATATAGGCCAATATAGAGCTGCATTGTGTGAGCCCTAACTCTAGTTTTAACATCACCGTGATATTTTCCCATGCTGAGCCTGTTTGTTATGTGGAGATGACTCACCCCCATAAAGCCTCAGTGGTGCTGCTATAAGCATTCACATAAAATATGCCAGTGTGGCGCCGTAAACAACATCATAGCAGCTGGGCTCCCAGAAGGCTAAAACTAGTTGTATAAGCGCTTCAGTGCCGTGCAATTTGTGTCAAAGTTATGCAACTTTTTTCTAGGAAATGCTATGATATGGACTAGAAATTGAAGGGTCAGGAACAGCGTATATTCAGCTTCTTCATCCCTGTGATAATGCATGTTGAGATGCATTGTGAGGTGTATTTAAATGTGCATGTATGAGTGTGTGTGTTGCGCAAGAGTAGTCTTTTCCCACTGCTTTTAGTCCAACAGGCACAGTGGCCGCAGTAGAGGCTGACTGAGTGTTCGCTAAAACAGAGAGCACCAGCTGGTCCAAGAGTGTGTGCATGTATGTGTGAGTGTTTGTACACACTGCAACCTCTCTTTTGCACCACCCTCCAGCCAAACAGAAGCATATCAGCTCCAAACTTTTTCTTTCACGTGTTTCTGACACAGTTTCTTCTTCCACAAAGAGGTCACACGATCCACCGAGTCACAGCAGCTCGACTCTGGAAAGGTCATGCGAACCTGTCCGTGCGGCGGGCCGTCCAAACATGGAGGAGCTGCGGATTCCACAGGAATGATGGCCTGTTATTTTTAGGCGCTGCATTCTTTCTTTGTGCAGTGGTCGTCCTATGAATAAGGTGACTCACCAACTGATTGATGTGTGAGCGTTGCTTTGAGCAAGTGTTGTTTGTCATGCCGTAGAGCAGGCACAGGAACAGGTTTCCTTTCTCGCTCCTGAAAAGAAGTTTAAAAAGCAGGATGAGCGGCCGCTGTGAGAATTAACAGAGGAGCTGTGTAAGGTCGAATCGGCGTATTGTTATCTGACAATAGTCCCCACGGTGTGTCTATGAATCATAGTGGCGATGCATGTTAGTCGCTTGTATAAATGTGACGCACAGTTTAGGTATACACTGGAATGGCTGACTTATTTGCGTTGGCAGGTTTGAACTCCAACTGTTGGCATGTGAGTGTTTACATGTGGTATGACAGTCTGTTATCAAGAGTGTGTTTTGGACTCATAACAAGGTCACACCATACAACTAAGGAGGAACCTCCAGGCCTGAAAAGTAAAGCCAGTGCAGTTGTGCCAGCTATAGTAGTTTATCAAACAAACACTTGGGGCTTCCTGAAAAAAGAGTCAATCTCCATTAAGCCCAATGTTAAAACGACCTGCATTCATAACTTGTTGCATGACCACATGGCTAATTTTGCTTTCTGTGGCAACTGCCCCAAGAGAATTATTGTTTTTTCCACATACATACGTTTTTCTTTTTAGCCTAATAAGGAGATAGAAATAACAATGTGTTTGCTGTGGATGACAGCTGGGAACTGGTTTCTGTCTGCTGATGTAATGAAAGCTTATTTTGGCACTGAGTCTTTACTACCTGCTATGTCTGTGTTGTTTCACCTTTTAATAGATCTTTTTTCTGATGCAACCATTTCTAATTGGCATGCTGTGACAGTTTTGTACGCTGGCCCTAAAGGCAAGCTTGGCACAAATGTTTCAAAATCCCAAAACACAAAGAAGTACAGGCCAATGACACAAAAATGGATTTCACTGAACACCAAAAACAGAGTGCTACATGCAAACATACAGCTATAGATATAGATTTAAATGATTTTTGTGAGCAACTATCTTTTCTTAAAGTAAATTTGCATTTTGTGAGATGTTCCGCTGAGCAATAGACGGCTATTAGACGTCTCGTTTTTTTTTTTAGACCTATTTTCAACTGTCTAGATTCTGTATATTTTTAGATGGAATTTAGACGTTGCACTTTTACGCAATATTCGATGACTATTCATTTCAAAAAGCAACTGTGAGTTGCATAACTGTACAAAAATAATTTAGATTTAGACTTGGTCTAAAATAAGACGTCTAAAAAAACGTTCATTTTCCGATCTGTGGTAGCCTGATTTTAGACCAGTCCTCTAGGCTACATTTAGACGTCTATTAAACCTCTTTTACACCAAAAAATGCTCAGTGGGGTTCTTGAAATTTTTGTTTTGTGAAGTTTTTTTGCAAATTGTGTTTTGGTTTTGTGTTTCATAAAAATTAGATTTTGTCCTAAAATGAAACACAAGTTGTGTTCAAGCCAGTTGCAGTTTATTCAAGTAAAAAAACAAACAGATTCGGTTGAAAATATGAATATGAAATACGTTGAAATTTATCCACAGGCATAGGCTGTTAATGTCTGACAACTTAAACCCCTTATTTTCCTTTCAGCTTTACTGTCTTGTGAAAATTCAGAAACTTTTGCCTCCAATATGGTGAAAGACATTGCACACACCAGGTAACAAAACAACCATTGCAACATCACTGGGTCATTCATTATCTCTACACTCTTTGCATACTAAACATTATCCCTAACAGTCTATGTACAGCTTTAAATTTTATACCTGGATATACCTGGAAGAGTGTGGAGGTGTGTGCTGTGTGTGTGTGTTTGTGTAGGAGTTGGGCTGTATCCCCATGTCAGAGAGCTGTGGGAGAAAACAGCATTCAGGGCATGCTCTCCCTTGTTATAATTAGCTGAGTCACTCACCACCAGCAGGGTGGAAGAGAGGCAGGGGAATTGATCTGCTCTGAGAATAGTTCAATCTGATCTGGCAGACAGCCAGCCATCGCTGTTAATTATTCTTCATTCTGCTCAGGACAGAGTTGCAGCTGTGAGACTTGAACTCAGACTGAAGAGGACGTACACCTTGACATGCTGCCTGCCGTTAGTACTGACTTGATTGTTTTGAAACAGTGAAATTTCATTGAAACAACATCCTCGGATTAGCCCAGTGCTTTGCTAACAAATCTGTCTGCCTGGCATAAAAATTACATTTTGGTGAAAGATGGACATGCCGTACATTTTTCCTCAAAACTTCTTCCAGTTGGCCGGGTGGGAAAGCGGTTTGCGAATGATCTTTTATACATGTGTTTGATTATTGAGCTGCAAGATATCAGAGAGCGACTGTAACACAGAGAACATTTTTTCATTTTACCTCTGATTTAAATAAGCGGTGCTGATGGAACTTTGGCACTTAACTTTAATCCAGGAGGGATTACCAGAGTACTTTGTGTGATTAATGGCAATTCCTCATCGCAGACAGCCTGATTTGTCACAGTCGGAGACGCACAGGTGCTGCTAATAATAAGCAATGATTCTGTTTGATTCAGGTTTCCTATTAATGCTGATTTATCTCACTGCCATAGGAGTGGAAAGAGAAAAAAAACTCACTCTTTCATTGACTTTACGAGCAATCACAGCGAGCCTCATAGTCACACCACAGAAATGACTAAAGTAACCTGTTGTTGATAATTGTCATGAGTTAGTATAGTAATTATAAAGATGTTAAAGACACTAAAGACACTGTTTGGTCGATGAATAGATCAGGAATGACTCTCTTTTTTGATAATTTGCCAGAACTAGCACCAAATCACTCCAATACATCAAAAATCATGGGGTGAGTTCAGAATATACATAATTTAATCATCAGTTTCTCTCTCTTTTTTTAATTTAGTGTTTTGGTCAGCATAGAATTTCACAAATGTCTCATTAATTTTTTAACAGAATCAGTGCAAACTTCACCTGTACTTGATCTAATAGCTGAAATTAGTCTCGAGCTCCGGCCTTCCAGCTTCCTTGCTTTATCCCCACAAGGGTTAATGTGTTCTAGTAATTCCAGCCTGAACTCACTAATATTAATCTGTGTTATCCAGATGCATTATTGAACTGTTGGCAGTTGCTTTTTGTACGTAGTATGTCCCGAGGGAGTTTAGTCATATCATAACAATACTTGTATACATGTACTGTTGCTAGGATACAGACTCAGCATCCTGAGGCACTTGTAAGAGACTTCACCCATCTCACCTGACTGGATTTACATAGTGTGTGAACTGTCCTTCCAGAGAATTGATTTCATGAGATTCCAGACAAATGAATTTACCTTTAGGGTTAAATAAACTTCTTGTATTGAGTTGTATTGTATAGTGGATATATGACCAAAGTCTGTTTCCAGCCCAGGATCAAAGTCAGACCCATATTTGTTGTCAGTATCCCTAATTTTTTGTAAAAGTCCTGTAGTGTGAGGCGTTTCAGTTTTTTTCAGGTTCGAGATAAAGAAAATGAGTTGATGCCTTCCAAAATGTTCCACTTTCCATGTTGGGGGATTCATTCATCCCAAAGAACAAAGAGATTTGGGAGTGCAGAAATTGCTTTTCGTAGTTCTCGTCCAGTAATTTAGACATTTTAAAGTCATGCACATAAAGTAAAGTCAAGTAATATCATCTGATATTACAAGAGTCTTGAAAAATACGTTTTCCCTTGCTGCTGTAACTTCCTAACTTCTGCAAAGTGATTCGCTCATTGTGGATTAAGATAGGACAAAACGAAGGGTATGTTCCAGACTAGCTC